TTGATTGAGATCCTTCATGTGTTTTTTTCAGCTTTTAATTTAATTTTGTTAGTCAAGAATGCTAGAAGAAGCTTGGCATGTTATTTATTATTTATTGTATTGTTGACGTAGCCTATTGTCCTGTATGAACTGAATGGCCAAATAAATCATTTGAATCATTTGAATCATTTTGAATCATTTGTATTATGTATATACGTCATAAGTCATTTATTTGGCCAGATTTACATTAATGCATTGGCTAAGTCGATATACATTTAAAAAAATACAGATTGTCTTATAAACTATAAAATAACTACTAAAATAAACAATATTTACGTGTTATCAATTCATGAACCAAGCATACCATATGCCCATGACTACCCATCAGCAATGAAATCACGGACACAGTAGTAATACTTGGACACCAGTAATTTTCGAAGTGATTTTTTAAAAATAACAGGGTGTGACTCAATTTTTAGATGGGTTGGCAATGCATTGAAAAGCAGTATACCGTTATAATAAAGATGTTTTTTTTTAAAGGTGGTTGAATGTTTTGGTATCTGAAGATTAAGACTGTTTCGCAAAGAATATGGACATGATCTGGAACTTGAAAAAAATGGAAATGTTCTTTTCCAGAAAAGAGAGTGTTTCAAGGATGTATATGCATGGAAAAGTTAAAATATTTGAAGACTGAAAAAAATCTTTGCATGAAGTCACGGCCGCCTTTAACTCCAGGCCGCGGCCTGGTAGAATTGTCAACATCGCAAGTGGTGTTGTTCAGTGACAGACGTCCCATAAGATAACATGGCAGACAGGTGACATCAGCTCATTAATTCGCACTTCATTGATTTAAATTTAAATTGACGAACATAAATTTATTAAAATATTGAAAATAAAGCATACAAATTGAAAACCGAAACAATATGAATTAAAATCTATATCTGTACATTTTTAAGCAGAGTCAATATTGTCATAGTCCAGTAACCAATCTTTCGTTTTTTTTTAAATTTTATTAACCGATCAGCATTTCATTGCTATACAGGTTAGGTATAATATAAGAAAGACAAAAATAACTACATTATTAATTACATTAACATGGATAGAGGTCAGCTTAGCCCCTCAGGCACTTATTGTCACTGTTTTAGCGGGGCGGACTGTAAAGGCACTGTCCACCAATGAAACACAAATCAATGAAAACAAAAAAATTTTTATAATAAAACATCTTGAGGCAATCTGGGTTTTAGTCGGAGTCTCTGGATTTCAGAAGGTTGGCCTGTGCTATAAAATCCAATGCTGCTGGTTAATGGAAGTTTTATAAACAATTTTGATGTAACTTTCTTGATAAAATCTTCTATAGGTTTTATTCCCAGTTCTAAATGTATTTGACGGGTTAGAAAATACCAGGGACATTTTAGAATTATCCTGTTTGCGAATTGAGCTTGATGAAGCAGTTCCCCATACTGGGCAGGCGTATAACAATAGTGGACGTAGAAGTGTTTTGTATAAAAGGGTTCCATTCTTCATAGACATACATGATTTTTTGTTGATTAAAGGAAACAATTTTGATAATCTGCCATAAGCCAAATTTATTTTATTAATATGAAATTTCCAATTTAACTTTCAGTCGAAGTATACACCTAAATATTTAATTGCTTGGTCAGGAGGGTTCCATGCAATCTGTTCACCTAGAATTTCTAAATTTGGAGGATCTAACGGTTTTCGGAGGGTAAATCTTCGCTTCACTCTTCATCGGATTTATGGCTATTCTCCATTTTGTGAACCATTCCACCAAATCGTTTAAGGAAATTTGAATGTTATTGGCCACAACTTCGATGTCATGGTGTGTAGAGTAGAGTAGGGTGTCATCAGCAAACACGGCTGTTTGGACATGGTTTGACAATGGCAAATCAGAGGTGTAAATGTTATATAATAGAGGTGAAAGAATTGCTCCCTGTGGGACTCCGGCTTGAATTGGTCTGGCAGTTGATAGGGAGCCATCAATATTAACTGAAAACGTTCTATCTTCAAGGAAGCTTTCAATAATTCTCTATAGGTAGGAGGGGACTCCGAACTTTCTTAGTTTATACAATAAACCATCGTGCCAAACACGGTCAAAGGCCTGACTTACATAAAGAAAAACTGCAGCAGTATGACATTTTCTTTCAAATCCTTTAATGATGTCTTCAGAAACTCTTAAAAGCTGATGTGTCGTGGAATGTTGGGAGCGAAAACCAAACTGATGAGGAGGTATTAGGGAAGCACTATCTACGTAGGAGTCTAGGCGTTGCTTAATGATTTTTTCAAACAATTTAGACAATGTGGTTACAATCTTTCGTAAATACACAAATACCATTAGCTGCTTCCAAACAAAAACAGCGCTGTTATAACACCACTTGGGACGCTGCCAGTTCGAAGGCCGCGGCCTGGAGTTAAAGGCGGCCGTGATGAAGTTCGTAAGCTGATTTTAAAGATGGTTCGAATTGCTCTCTTTTGATATATATATATATATATATATATATACAATGAACATAGAAATTTTATGTTCTGCTCCACTGACAATGTAAATGTCCATGATAATAAATGATTTGATTTTGATTTGATTTGTCCGTGAAGACGATGACTTGAGTAATTTATATTAGATTTTTATGAAATTTGGTTTGAAGGTGTAAGGCGGGATAAACTTAATGAGATCACAAACCAGCATGCTCGGACCATGGGAATGGGGTTTTATGGGATAAAAATTGGTTTTTCTAATTTTTGACCATAAAAACATAAAATTTCCCAATTTCTCTCTAGACCTTCTTGAGCTTAAAAAAAACCACAAATAATTCAGTAGCCTACTTACTTGATCCTTGATACTTGGTCCTATGTCAAAGTGTTTTGAACGGTTACCGTATTTACGGGGAAAACTAAAAAAATTATAAATTCAAAATTCCCATGTTATTCTTATGGAGAATATTGAAAAATGTTGTAGTTTGCTTGTATATGGATATATTTTGATAAAACTTGGCAAATTTAATGATTTCATACTAAGCTATAATTATTTTACTTAAAATCACACTTTATTAGTTTCCTTGTAGCAGCAAACCTAGGTACTCGTTAATGTTATTTAAATAGATTAAGTGAAAATCATTTCAGGCAAGTGGGAAATCGCTTAGGTTTGCTGCTATTTATCTATGGTTGAGTTTTCTGCATTAATGATGACGTCATAATGGTACCTGAAAAATCTCCCGTTAGCCGTATCGGTGCTGTGGTAGTGTGTAGTGTTTGGTCATGTTTTGCTGTTTGGTTTTTTTTTAGTTCAGTGAATCCTTTCTTCCGTAGTGGAAGTGGAGTGGTGGAGCTGGACTGGACCTGTGTCCTGACACTCGTGCGTGGTGTGGTGACAGTTCAGTGTTGTCAATTGCGGGGAAAATCCTCGTTTTTCGAGGATTTCCAGACCCTGCGAGGATTTATGCGAGGATTCAGATTTTGCGAGTATTTTCGAGGATTTTCAGGTAAAGCAAATAGGATTTTTCTGATAATCGAGTATTCTCAGTGCCTGGGTCTCTTTAAAAATATATTGAAAATCCCTCTGAATCTAATCATTGAAAGAACAGTTTCCGCAACTGAAAAAAGTCAATAAATCAACCAATCAAGATCTGATCTAAGAACAAGTAGATGAAGAAGAAGACGATGAAATGAGGGTGAACTTAGAACTAACTGCCGAACTGGAAACTGGACTGAGGTGAAATGAAGTGAAGTAATTCTATGCTCAGCTCCAGCTGTCGCTGTCATGTCAACTCAGCTGAGTGCGTGCTATAAGCCTGTAATCATGAAGCGAATGTGAATTCGAATTGATCTATTGTTATGAGGATATGACTGGGACCGATGTGTGTTTAACAACAAACTACCCTACCTTTTTTTAGCTTTTTCAAAAAATACGTATAGGTGTCGTCCCCATCTGAATGATTTATAATTTAATTTTTAAAGCTAATAACTAATATATTATTATTAATGAAGGTTATATTAAGTATGATATAATTTATAAAGTATTTTTTTCAGGTACCATATAAACACAGGGTTTTTTCTTATTTAGGCGGCCGTGATTTAATATTACCTTGAGTGAATTATTGTACCCTAAAATAAAAAATAAAAAAAATTTATAATTTGTTAAATAATTTCGACGTTGACATAAGCACACCCACAAATAAACCAAGACCAACTACAAGTACAAGTACTTAAGCCCCCCACACACTACCAGACCAGACCTCCAGACCAGACCGTCTGGTCTGGCGTCTGGCACTTGTCTTATCGTGTGTGGGGCTGTCTGCAGACCGATTTTCTCTGACCAGACTGTCTGCGTGTCTGATGGTTGAACCCTCAGACCACAGACGGTCTGAGGTTCCCCCACCACTATTTTTGTCTGGTCTGTGAGTGTGTAGCGCTGTCTGTCAGACGGCCGACCATCGTGACAATCTTCATCCATTTGTTGGAGTTCTCACCACGGTCTCTCAATTACGAATTAGGACCGTCTGGTCTGGGAGTGTGTAGAGCCGTCCAAGACGGTCTGGTTGCAGCCAGACGGTCTGGTCTGGAGGTCTGGTCTGGTAGTGTGTGGGGGGCTTTATTCAGATTTGACAAAGAGTCAGGGTTCAGGGATGGAAAACCTACTTTTACCATTAATTATAATGCATGCGTTAAATCATAGATAAATATAATTCCATTGTGTTGGTTGGTCTATGGCTAGACCACACTCATACTATTTAACAATTAAAACCCATAATTTTTAAAGTACAATAGGTTACGCATCTATGTTTGGTTATTTGCACCTCTAGTAAAAAAAAAAAAGAAAACGTGGAAACGTATATTATCATGTAAATATGGGGAAATTTCAAATTATTTTAATCTTTGATGCTAACGAGGATTTTGTGAGTAATTTTAGAATCCTTGCGAGGAAAATCGAGGATTTCCGTCATTTCGTGCGGGGAAAATCAAAGAGGTTGGTTGGCAACACTAGGATTAGGATTAGGATAGAGGGACTGACAGCTGATGACACTACTAGATGACAGATCGTCTGGTCTTGGTGAGGGATATGAAGAGTAAAGATCAAGTTAAGAATCATCAACTTCAACTATTTAAAGATAGATCATAAAATTATTAGTGATCATGAAATAACGTTTAAGGTAAGGTATGGGTCCTAGTCCTAGACAAGTACTGTAGGCTTAGGGCCTACTTCGAAATCATAATGAATCCGAAATGTTGTAGATCAAGCTAATGAGATTATAGGCGAAATAGGCCTAGACCTAGTGTTTTTACAACTGGTTTTTAAAAATTGAAAAGTAAAATATACCTAGGCTTTGTTCAACACAAGGGCTTTAGCAAATTCTTATGCTTTAAGGCTATGTCCTTTGCCAACTATTTTTGAAGGTGGTGGCATTTTACTCAGCAACATAACAGCCTAAGTTAATTAGCCTATAATGATTCACATAAATTATTATTTATTGACCTGTCTTTGGTTTGACATTTGACAGTTTCCGGACTGGAGGGTAGCCTACAATGGAGTCATATGTAGAAACACAGGAAAATAGAACTCACGAGAATAGTATGAGCTCTGAACTCATTCAGGTTGAGGCAACAGACTTGTCGTTTGATACAGGTAACTTAGGATAATTTTATCGCAATAATTCTTAGATTCTATTCTTACACACCACCTCATCCTTTGGTCACTTTGTAACTTCGGCTACCTACTTGATAGATTCAGGTAGCCTAGCACAAACCATTCAATGATCATGTTTAAAAAATTGTAAATGGCAGTGGGCTTAGGATGTTTTTCATTTAAGCTAAGGGTTGTTGCGATATCAGCAAACTATCGATAACTTATTCGATATCGAGGGTAGACTTCCGTATCTGTTGGCACAAACAACCGAGTGAATCGATATATTGATTAATCAATATATCGTTTGGTTAGTTAGGTAAGGTTAACCTAACATAACTAAGTTAGGCCTAACCAAACAATATATCGAATGAAACAACAGATAAATTGATTTATTCATCCCGTTATTTGTGCCAACAGATACAGAAGTCTAGACCCGATATCGATTCCAGCCTCTAATACTTAGGCTTATCGATATTATGATAACTTAATATCGGAGCCAAATATCAGTATTACTTTGGAGGAAACCACTTATTAAAGACTTTGGAACGGAATGAATGATTCTTGAAGAGCTTGTTTAGGATTTTTGATCAGGCCTTTTGTCAGGAAATATTTTTTAGCACATACGTTACTTATTATTTTAGAACCTGTCGATTGTTATTAAGCTAGGCCCTACTTTTTTATAATGTCTGCATAGGGTAGTTTCTACTACTTTGCTAGTTACAGTAATCTGCATTTGCAAATCATGTCTTTAACCCATTCCTGACTGAGTTCAGGTCCTCATGAACTCAGACCGAGTCAAGTACTTGACCGGGTCAAGTAACAAGCAGTTGGAACCGAGTAAAAAAGGGCCAGAGTGTAGGCCTACAATGTTGTGGTAAAAAACTCATTAAAAATGTAATTTATGAAATTAATGCCTCAGTTACACTTGTGTTTAAACTTATCTAGGCCTACATAAAATTCCCTTTCATATGACACTAATTTTAAATAAAAAATATTTTAGCCTAAGTATTGTAATTTTCAATGCGTACCTATATGCATATACAAATTTTTTTTAAAAACAAACCTTGAAGTCAATTTCTTGGTCAAATTTATAAATAGTAGGCCTATTCAATTCGTTACTCAAAAAACTTTATTTGGTTTGGACATAAAATCCTTAATTTTAATAAGTAGCTGTTTTTGTAAAACTATGCAAAACGACAAAATTGGCCTAGGCCTAATACAATTTTTGTATCAAAATTGTATGTGTAGGCCTTTCTACAGTAAGTTAAAGTGTTTGGAGTATTGAAATAAATGGAAAATAATATTCCAAGCATAATTATATTACTTTTACAACTAATTGCATCATTGGGAAAAATTAGGTGAATCATTAATAATGTATAATAAGCCTAATAATAATGCATTATGCGTGAGGACGGGCGCTTCCCGTCTTTAGTCTTTCGTAACGTGACGTGCTAGGACAGGCGCCGCCCATCCTTAGGCGGGAATGGGTTAACTGCTTTTTTAACACTGTTTTACTGTTATACTGTTCTATGAAATGGCGACCATACAACATAGGTATTTTAAGCCAAGTATGAATGGAGATGAGTGTAGGATGAGTGGCGCGATCTTGTAGTCTTGTTAGTGACTAAAGCCGACATTCCTTAGACACAGCTGTTAATTAATAGCCCATACAGCTAATGGCAACTAAGGAACCTACAGTTTATAGTGAAATCCGAAACACATTTTTGCCTTGGTAATTACGAATTGGTCTAATTATCAGGATAGTACTGCGGATAGTCGTAGTACTCGCCTGTGCAGACGTTAATCCACGCTGGGGAGTATCGCATCCACAGTGCATGGCTTTAAATATCCACAATTAAACGTCACTGAATAATTTTCATTATTAGGCCCAATAAAGTCATATATCGATTGATATCAAGGTTTGCTAAAAGAACACCGCAGACGACACTGGAGCCTGAGTGGACCACAACTACGGCACCGGCTCTTGAGCTCTGACAACTGACAAGTAACATCGCAACCAACACTCCAGCAATAAAAATCAGTTGCTACCAACTAGTTCCCTCTACCACAAAAAATACAACCAGCTAGTCAATATTAGTGGGGATTTTATCTTGTACATAACTTAACTTGTTGGGAGGTTTGTCAATATCGTTAAAACTTTATTACCTAAACTTTTGTTACCTAAACTTAGGACATTCAATATCGAAAACCGATATTGACAAAATTCTTCCAATGTCACAATAATATTGAAAGCCCAATACCGATACAATATTGAAAATATCAAAACATCGGTATGGATTGATATCGATAATATTTTAAATCCCTATTTCAGTTGTGATTCGATTGTAAGCTGGTGATTGTTGTGTTCTCGTGTTGTGATCAAATACACATCACCACAGAACAGATTATTATCAACACATGCACATACTTTGATTGGTATAAGGAGAATGCTGAAGGAATCTAACCTAATTTCAAAATACTTAACTTAGGCCTAATTCAGTCTCGAATCTGCACTAGTCCGACCTGCCCTCCCCGCATGCCTAAATAAGATCAGTGCTCAATTTTTGTTTTTAGATGAGTTATTTCAATTTGATATTTTTGACAGATAATTATTAAAAAAAAGAGTAGGCCTATGGATTGTTAAGGTAATTGAATGTCATAATTGGCTCTAATCTAAATAAACATTCTCAACATAACTTACCGTGCTGCTGTAATGAATTGGGCCGGTAATATTCCCAGTGGGAGGGAACCAGCTTTTGACATGGGTTGTTCAAAAGCTGGTGTGTGGTGTGCAGGCCTGTGGTGTGTACAGCGTAATTTAAAGTTTTTCTGTCTCATAAAGGTATTAGTTTCAGTAGCCCTATAGGCCTAGTAGTTTACGCAACGACCACATTGAGACTATTAAGCAAGTTGCGTACACTAAGTTACTTTACCGACCGTTTTTTTAATTACTAACTATTACTAAGTACTCATAATTTCTATAAGAAGTTACATTTTTGTCTCATTGCCACTGACAGTGATGCAATAACTCATTGCACCAACCACTAATTGCACCACTCGACAATTAAATTGGTTTTAACAGCTGGATATTAGTTGAAGCTTGAAGCATTACAATTTGTACAAAAATGCTGTTAAGTAAGTAAACAATGTTGTTAAGTAAATATTTTCAATTCTAAGAACAGAACTGAAATGGCTATTTTAAAAAACGGTCGAAGGTAAAGAAGTTAACATTACCCCAATATTCTTTTTATATGTAATAATCGTAGGCTACTATACCTATAATACACCACCTATAATACACCTATAATACACATATATTGTCACCTATAATATAAAATATAATATACACCTAATATACAACACCTATATTTTAGCTCTAATCACAATAATTATTTCTATAGACCTAATATATAGCCTACAGTGTGTATTACAAAATTGTTGCTTGCGTATCGTTACGTTCTGAACATTTTGCTTCCTAAAAAATATTTAACTTAATCTGTAAAAAATAGCCTCGCACCAATAGGCAACTAACATAAAAGATTACAAAAATATGTTTTACTAAAATGAATTGTATTTTTCAGTGCCTGATTCTCTTGAGTTGAAAAAGAAAGTAAATGATATTGAGGAATTCCTTTTGCAAAACCCATCACCTCCTTTGGGAAAACTGAAAAACTTTGCTCTCTCAGAAGGTGGATTAGTTTGTGGTAAGTGAGCGTTTGAAAATATTTAACACGTAATATTTACTGTATAAATAAGCTCACATCATACACTAGTTGTTCAATACAACCGGTAAATATAAAGGTTGCAAAGATTAACATCAATAATATTCACATTGGTCTGTCTTGTGTAACTTAGGCCTACCCAATACAAAAAGCAACTCACAAGCATTGTAAAGCAAGATCATAGATCCTTCATAAATTCGTCATGGTGCACACAGGATGTCCAGCCAACTTGAAAAAAGGAAAACCAAAAATTACACATGAGGTTTGATTAACAGAAAAACAAATTTTTACATAAATTTTCCATGGATCCTGGAACTAATAGATTTCTGAATAATCACATTTTGTTTCCTTTTTAAATAGCTTATGAACATTGTGGAAAATTATCACAAAGTTCATCTACTGTAAGCGTACGACTTTTTTGTGAGCCGGGTGTGCGGGGGAGGGTGGTAGCAATCTCCCACCGCAGCCAAAGTTTCCGTGGCATTGGTCGGACTACGCTTTCTAAAAACATTTAACCAGCGCTGTTCACGTTGATTTCCTTTTTTGCTTACGTTATTTTAGAATTTAAATTAGAATATGATTCAAGTACCACACAACGCAATTACTGTGGGTTTTATATTATTGTTTTTGTTCTGTAGTAGAGTATAATTAATTTTGATATAGGCCTAACTATGTAAAATGCTCACCAAATGGTAAAAACATAGTATATTCCAATTTAATTGTAAAGTTTGACTTATTAGGTGTAAACCATTAATTTAGTTTATAGGTGATATCTTAAGATGTAGTACTTTATGTAAAAACACATACATATATACCTATAAACAGAAAACCATAAGGTTTAGTACATATAATTGTGGAAACTTTTTGCTTACTTTCATATTATGTATGTTTAATAAAATTATAACAGGTTACGTACCTTGACGTCCACAATTCCTTAGTCGGTATCCGTTGACTATAGTTTCGACTACTACGTAGTCATTATCAAAAACGGATCGTTAAAATATTACATTCGTTGAATGTCGTCAAATCTTAAATACATCGAACACACAAACAAACATAACACGAATACACGAACACGGTAGACATTTAACATAATTGGCCGGCCGTCACACGTCACTGAACTGGTCGACGACGATGACTGTCATGTCCTGTTAGTCATCGTCGTCGACCAGTTCAGTGACGTGTGCCGGCCGGCCAATTATGTTAAATGTCTACCGTGTTTGTGTTATGTTTGTGTGTTCGATGTATTTAAGATTTGACGACATTCAACAAATGTAATATTTTAACGTTCCGTTTTTGATAATGACTACATAGTAGTCGAAACTATAGTCATTGGATACCGACTAAGGAATTGTGGACGTCAAGGTACGTAACCTGTTATAATTGATTACCAATTCCGGAAGGCTTCAATATTAATAAAAAGTTTAATAAAACTTTATAATATCGGACGGGTTTTCCGAACAACCTGTAAAATGGTTAATGGATTGCAGTTATTTATGTTATATCCCTAAGTTGATAAAACAAAACTCGGTCTCCTAATGTCGCAAAGTATTTTATGACAATATTTTATTACCTCATTTTATTACTTAGGAAGAGTGTTGTATTCTATCGTGTTCTATCGACTGTCAGTTTATTGGACTGTGTTGTGGAGTCAAGTAGTGCGGTTGGGCAAACCATTCTCAGTGAAGCGAGGGAAATTATAAAACCAATAGGCGCCATGTGTTGGTTCACGCCGTGGGTTTACGCTTCCGCTGGGAGTAGAAGTACAGTAGTATAGACAACAGTTTTAGGGCGACTAGTAGCAGATCACCAAGCACCGGGCTGTGGTGGGGGCCCCTCCTGGCCGCAGAGGCGGTGGAGGGGCCACGCGCAAACAAGTAGTGCACTTACAGTAGTAATAGTATGATAAATTGCTGATCTCATTATAAATGTGAAAGTATTAAGGACATTCTTGCAATCACAGTTAATCATCATGGATGTTTCCACAATAACGAGAGATGATTTAAGATATTGTATCAAGCTCAGAAAAAAGTATCAGTTGTTGCTATGACCGCAGGAGATAATCATGGGTGCATATTCGCCAGAGATAATGAAAAATATTGTCATGTCGGTGGAACATCATCACAGTTTTTAGTGTGATCGCTGATCATATTGCATGTTACATTTATGATGTGGCATTTAAAACCAGAGTTAACTATGAATTGGAGGTTTTCAGATTCAAACTAGTATAGATCATCTAACCATAGTATTCCCATTTTACAATCAAAGTTAATTCGCCGTTGACAAAACTGAATTGTTGCCAAGTGGATGTAGTGCTGGCGTTTAAAATAGTAATTTTCTGAGGACTGATATGTCGTCATTGGGGTTCAAATCAATTAATGATGCTTTCTAACAAAATGTTGATGGTAGATTGTAACAAATTCCAGGGTTTGGACCTCACATAAAGTAAAAAATGTCAATGCTGTTGAAAAAAAAAACACACAAATAAAACAACCAATAGCTGATGAGGAATTCCTCGCATTGTAACTAACATCAATGTTGCTAACTAGCTGTTTGTTGACAGATGAGGTACGCAGGAAAGTGTGGCCTCTACTGCTTTCACTCGATCCTGAAAAAGCGGAGCCGGCCCCAGCCCTAGAGACTTTGAGGGCTCATCCTGAATATCAGCAGGTAAGTTTGTCAACTTTGTTATGAAATTTATGATTTTAAGTACTGTATCGGGGTGACGGATAACAGAGAGGTTCTTCTGTACTAACGTACCCTCCGTAGTCGTCACACTCGTTTGTAAGTGGATATAATGGCAGAGCAACGCGATCTCTCTGATGGTTTCCTAAGTTTGAATTTTGTTAGTTGATTCATGCTTTTACTTGACCCTACTACTAAAAAAGATGCAAATGTAGTCAACTGCCATTTTGGATTTTGTGAAGATTTTAAGTCTGTTGTTCTAACTACTGAGGATACTGTTTACTAATTATTTGAATTAGGATGTTAATATGTTGGTTCAACAACTGATGTCCCGTAGGTGGTGTTGGATGTGAACAGGTCGCTAAAGCGGTTCCCTCCCGGCATCCCGTACAACAGACGAGTGGCGCTGCAGGATCAGCTGACTACCTTGATCCTACGAGTCATCTCCAAGTACCCTCACCTACGATACTACCAGGTACATATTATAATTGTTTCCGTAACTATAAACTCTTATGAGAACTAATGTTTCTCACGGATTTAAACAAATTGTAAGAAAATTATGTGTATAGCATTACCCGATGAACTATATGAAACACTAGAACGAACACACTCTGAACAGGAAGATGGTTTGCCGGCTGCCATATTTGAACTGGGTAAAAAAGCTGTGCAAACCTATACTTTTGTTTCATGATGTTGTAATTTATTGCACATTCATAAATTTATTTAAAAACAAATTTTGTGAGGATAGCAAGCTAATCTGAATGGGAAATAGTCCAAACTGGCACAGGAGACACAAAACTTTACACTAGGGCCTATACACAAAACGTTAGTTCTGTGTACTTACTAAATGTTTTGTGTTTATGTGTATAGTGTAAAGTTTTGTGTTTCTTGTGCCAGTTTGGACTATTTCCCGTTCAGGTAAGCCAGGCTACCCTCACACAATAAATCCTTAAAACCTATGTTATATAATTTATTTAAACAATGTATACAGGGTGTCCACATACTGGAAAGTCAGGGATTGTCACGGAAAGTCATGGGATAAAATTCTGTTCACTGAAAGTCATAGAAATAGGGGAAAGTCATGGAAATCCCCAATGATGGATGGTTTTGAGGGGACCATTTAATGCTCTAGTCGGCCTTAACCCCAACTACTGCAGCATTTTTTAGGATTTTTCGCAAATGTTCAACAATTCAATTTTTTATAGCTGTATTAGTTTATGAGTTTTGAGTTTGTAGTAGTTCATTGTTGTACCTATTGTACTCCAATGTTATCTGTTAATACATATTTCAGTATTTCTGCGAAATAACTTGTCTAGGCAGTATTATTCGTGTGTGTATGTTATATTACAATTTTTGTAAGTCATGGAAATCAATTGTAAATAGCCATGGACAAATAAATGACAAATTTTTTGTGTACACCCTGTAAAGTTTTTTTTTTTAATAATAAAATATCATCTAAACAAAGCAATTTAGGCTAGTCTGTAATGAATATGCATAAAATACTTGTTTTTTACCATACTCTTTAAGGAAACATTTCCCAACAGACTTCCCACTTAAAAAAAAAAAAAAAAATTTGCCTCCTTTGCAGAGTGTGGATACTGGGTAGGCTATGGTTTAGGAACTTAGTGGCAGCAAAGTGTAACTTATTTGACATATTAGAGCAGAATCTGTCTGAGGCTATTTCAGCTTCTAGAGCTTAGCAGACCCAATAAGTGAGAATAAGTAGTATTTCAACTGTTTCAAACTGTTGTATGTTCTACAGGGATACCATGATGTAGCTGTCACTTTCCTGCTGGTGGTGGGGGAAGATGCAGCGTTTCAGATCATGGAACGTTTGTCCACGGATCATTTGAAGGACTGCATGGAACCCACCATGGATCGAACCTCGTACTTGCTCAACTACATCTTCCCTTTGATACACAGGCTACATCCAGCGCTGTGCGAGTTCCTTGATAGGTAGGAGATGGATATCATCATAAATTATGTGTTTTCAAATTATACTGAAATGTTCACTATGTTTCTTATGATCGGAGTAAATGCTGTTTATGTGTGTTTAAGTAGTGTTTGTCTACATCCTGTTCTATTTTTAATTTATTGTAATGGTAAAAAATACAACCGTGTTGACAATTGCTCTAGGTCAATAGATAAAAAAAGATAATGCGTGAATTGCTGCTTACCTTACATCAAATCTTATATTACATAATTAACATTGTAGTAGTAACGGTGGACCAGGACCACCAAATGGTTGCTAATAAATATAGGCATAGATTATAAATGTTACATGGCATGACATAAAATCAATCATTATTCTTTTTAATCCTGTTTGAATGGTTGGAAAACGAATACACTCTGCTTCTTCACGAATAAGCTCTGCTTCTGCTCACTGCCAAAATATTGGCAAAGCCACCGGCCAAAATGTATTTTCATTAAAATCGAGCTTGTGTCAAAAAGGTTTAGGCCTACTGCTATATTGCTATTTTACTCTGGTTGTTTTGCAGGTCTTGTGTGGGCACCATGTTCTGTCTGCCTTGGTACCTTACCTGGTACAGTCACAGTCTAAACCGATACAGAGACGTGGTCAGACTGTACGACTACTTCCTAGCGTCCCCCCCACTACTGCCACTCTACCTAGTGGCTGCAATCGTAGCTCATCGCCAAGATGAACTGTTCTCCGTAGACTGTGATATGGCCACCGTGCACTGCCTTCTGTCTAACGTAGGTTGTAGTTAGGATCTATATTATTTTGAAAATTCCTCAAACAATTAATATATTGAGCCTTGAGAGTTCAAGATTTGCACAAAAAATTGCTGGATGTTATGAACAAAATAGCTTTTTAATACAGATGTTCTTGCACGAGTGAATTATCAATGACTTTATAATAAGATTGGGGTGCAACTAAAGGCATGTTTCAACACAAATGAATGGGAGTGTATACAAATTAGATGTGTTGTGTCGTTGTATCATTATTATCATTGTAATTTGAGATGTGGACGCCACCTATGTGAGTATTTTAACCCAAATATGAGTGAAGGATGAGTGTAGAATGGAGTGAGATGATCTGAGTAGAATTGTTATTGACCAAGATTACCTGTTTCTATGAAATCATAGTTTTCATTTGGAAGTTTAACAGGATTTACTTATTAACTCAAATGCATTTGGATTTGTATCAGGGCCTCAAAAATAAAATATCTGGAAACTGTTGGTTTTATTTTTCCCCCACCAAATTAGAAACAATAGTTGGACAGAGATATATCTAGTTTATTATGGAAGGATTGTCCATCACCCTGACATCGTTGACCATGTCCTTTATTGTTGACAGCTGTCTGATGATTTGCCGTTTGAGAAGCTGTTGAGCCAAGCCACAGACTTATATGACAAGTTTCCTCCAGAGAGTATAGAGCCTGAGGTCAAAGAAAGATGTCAGTTGGAGTAAGTACCTGTATCAGAGACTGTGATTATTTGGAATTATAGGGATTGCATGAGACATACTTTTTGATTTTCATTTTAGTGAATCAAACTGACTGCAAGGTATAGATTTGGAGAGAAAGGGCTTATTGCTTGAGAATAGGTGCGAGAAAGGATAGGATAAGCAGGCTCACCTTAAGAAATATAGGCACCCCACTTCATTTGTTTTGTGTTTTCTTCTGTGTTCTGTAGTGAATGAAGTGGGATGCCTACATTTCTTAAGGCAAGCCTGCTTATCCTATCCTTTCTCACACCAATTGACTGCAAGGTATGGTTTAGTTATTGAAAAGCACTTTCAGTGTCCTTTTACAATATTTAAAGGAAGAATAATTTTGCTTGGGTAATGAAAATCCATGTAATGATTACTAATATGATCTAATCACACCCAACAACTAATAGCCATTATGATTTAAAAAGTCACATTGATAGATTTGGTTTAGTTTATGTCCAATATTTGTTTTATCAGAGCCCAGAAACGTCAGCAGGAGGAGGCTGAGAGAAAGGCGCTGGTGAGGCGGAGGGGTAGAGGTAGGGGCGACACATCGTGGGTGAGGCGACTGTGGGCCTGGCAGCCGCCCGTACACATACCTAACTACAAGATCCTGATACTCACTGCAAGTGTGGCGTTCGGCTTCTACGCCTACCTCAAGGCTGGTCCTGACGCAATAGACTTCACACCCAGGTAAATCATTGGTGGATTATTTTTTTTGGGATTTGTGAAATTAAGAACTTTTAGTCTTATTATTGTAAATTTCCAGTAGTTGTATCCAGTTTCTTTGGTGATCTTTGTTTGAAAATTGTTCAAATTTGTCTATGGATCTTTTGTTGTCTTTAGGATTCAGAAATACTATGAAGTAATAGCACCTTAATTTTCTATGTTTTACAAACATTGTCCAATCCTAAACAATAATTGTTTTCAAAATTATTTAATTGTACTTTTGAGACATGATACTTTAATGCTGGGTCTAATTGGTACTATGTATAATTTTTTACTCAGGCCTACATGTTGTATAGCTTTTTGCTCAACACAATATTCTGCTCCTGCAGCAAGAAATAGGTGTTACAGTTGCATTTTTCTGTCTCACCCTGAATAGAAATTATATACTTGTTAGTCTTTGAGCCTTGGGTATGGCAGCCACTGTAGTCTGTGCACTGCATTAGTTTGTAAGGCATTTTACTAACAATACAGTTAAGATGGTTAAAATTTAGTAGACAGATAAAAATTGTAAAATTGACTTAAATGACAGTGTATTTATCTTTTAAAAACACCTGCACTGACAAGCTGTACTCGGTAAATAGTACAAGTGCTGTGGGATGGAGTTAGAGAACCTATTTTTTTATACTTAAAAATTTGGCCTCAATGAATTAAGTAACAGAAGATCTATGACAATTGAGTAATCCTGTTTTAACTCGCAGGTAGCCTTTGCCCCTGTCCCGAGACTCCACCGAGCAGCCTTTGCAACGTCCTGTCTGTGATCACTGTAGTTCTTACATTAGATGTTGGTTCTACTTTTTGTGTTGGTAAAGGTGTAATAGCTGCAAATTGTCTGCCTCATATGCCCATCTGTTTATATTTTTCTCATATTTAATGGGAGCCTCACACTGTTGAATAGTGAATTTTTAAATTTATTGCCCGTCTTTGGTCAAAGACACTGATTTGTTTATAGTGGCATCAAGAAAAATAAATTTTCGGTAGTGGTAATAAAAGTATCAGCCACAGTTGGTTGTATAAAATTGTCGAGTATAATTTTATTTTGAGGTTTTCGATCGCCAGTATCTTAAATTGTTTTGATATTTGTTTCATTAGTAACCTATGTTTTTTATAAGCCTCTAGTTTGGACTTTATAAGAAGTTGTATTGAATATTGTTACATCACTACATTAGATTCCTGACTATCCACAATATATCCTACAGTAATCAGTGGTCGAGTGATCGTCAATAACACAAACATAACCTAAAATGCCCGAGAAATAACTAACATTGACTTGAATGTACGGTTAAGCTTTAATTCTGGTTTAGGCATTGATAAAACGTTTTTGCAGTGTAGATATACATTTTAACTTCGCTACACACTTCTGTTTTACAAAACATAATATTGTAGTACCTATGTTTAGACCTAAATTAAATGACAAAAATTAAAACAAAACTTATTAACACATTGTTTGTAATCTACGACTCATCGGTGGTTGGTTGAATATACATTGGCAACTCTATAGTCTGTCCGGGAGATGATGGGCCTCCTCAACCAAAACATCTTGGTAGTCGCTGTTTAAAGTACATATATATATATATATATATGTTTAAAGTAAGTATATATATGTTTGCGACAGTGGTTACTTTACAAGCCTTGTTAATATTTTAAATTGAAATGGCGACCATACAAAGGTAGGTATTTTAAGCCAAGTATGAATGAGTGTAGGATGAGTGGCGCGATCTTGTAGTCTTGTTAATGACTAAGGCCGACATGTTCCTTACAGATAAGATGTTGAAAACCACATTTTGCCTTGTAATTTATGATTTGGTCTAAGTATTAGGATAATACTGCGGATAGTCGTAGTACTCACTAGAACGGACGTTAATCCATACCCGGGAGTATCGCATTGAAAGATCATGCCTGTAAATAGCCACAAATCTTGACCTTTGACCGGATTATAGGACGACGTATCGTGTTTTCTATTAGATGTTAATATATCTATTTATGTGTAGTTTGTTTCTATGTGACGGATCAGTCTCTTTTCCAATCGTATGGGATTAATTCACTTGTGGATAATTTGGAGTCTACTGTATTTAAGATGGGAACAAAACAAAATATGGGGTATTTTAACCCAAAGATGAGTATATAAAGAGTGAGAGATGCTTTATGTAGCTTTGTTGGCAAGACCAGCTGTTTCTTGAGTCAGAACCATTTAGTTTCCGGGGTTTTTTGTCAAACCCTCTACATTTTCTGATTCTGATGGTCCAACCGAAAGTCTAAATCTGTTGCTATTTACTTTACGTACGAGGTACGAGTGAATCATCTGTCAAGCAGGGTTTTATACAGACTATATTCCTGGTTTATGTTTTTGAAATTGTTGTGATCACATAATCAATCCTAAACTGATGTTTTATACATACAGTATTTTAATTTTTTAAATTAAAGTTATATACCATCCTGGTTGGCATGCTTCGGGTATTGTTGAAAAAGAGATTGTCTTGTAATTAAGTGCTTTCATATGATACCAAATATTTATTGTAAACATAGTTTAATAACCTAAAATGGACAAAAATAAATTAAGTTCAACATTTGAATCCTTTTGCACCTGTAATGATATTGTTTAGAATTTGATCACCTCCTTTTTAAATGTTTTTAGAAGCAAAAATTATTAATAATTTCTTCTTGTAGAATTAATTTAATTCAAAACAACTTTATAAGCTCAAAAAGAAAGTTATCCTCAGCTTAATCTGAATTAAAAAAAATATTCATTTCATATTTTAACTACTTATTTCCTGAAAACATGTTAATTATACATGTAGATATCAGGAAATATAATTCACATAATTTTTTCTGTTTAAAATTTGTTTGTAGTCTGAATGTAATTAAGTATTGAATGTTACAGCTTGTAAATAAACAAAATATGAGTATTTTACCACACTGAAGTGCTCAATCTGAAGTGTATTTATATATAAAACATAACCTCAAATTTCCGGCCAGTACTCTAAAATAGATTGTGTTTTTACCATGCTTTTTGGTTTAAAATGACTTTCTACATTAAGTAAGATTACATTTTTTTTTTATTCTGATGCTGTGTATCAGGCTTTATAATTTACTTCTAGATATTTTTGTATTGGAATGAATAGATGGTAAAATTTTAATGTGTTAATTGTTTTTTTTTATAAAGAATCGATAGGTGTAGATTAGATATTTTGTTATCAACTTATTGTGTATTAAGTTTTATTTTGTATTATGGGGACCTTTCTTCTGTTAAAGCTAAGTTGCTTTTTCAATGCCAGTTTTGATTATATGGTAACATCCCTTAGAATTGTGAAATGTGGGAGTGGCATGTCCCTTATGTCCCTTAGGGCAGCACATGCCCCAAAACAATAAACATGTGTAATTACTTAAACTTGAAATAAAATCAGCCAAACAGACTCATTTTATTTATGTGTTTAGTCTAACACGCAAACAAGATTTTGAATATGGGTTGTAAATAAATTTATTCAGTATGAAAATATTTTTAAAAATATTTAGAATAATGTTAAAAGTTAGATGATTTGCACCTAAATGTGTTTAATTATTTTAACGATTGGCCTCTCTTTGGAGTTTATATTCATTACAATTATGTATGTAAACTGCTATTAAATTTGCTCATATACCTTTAAATTTTAAATAACAGATAAACATAGATTATCTGAATGTGAATGTTCACAAAACAGCCAAACATAAATTATCTGGATCCACAGTCAGCCGTTGTAGATTCAAAATAAATTTGACATAAAAAAAGATAGCTGTTCTCACAATTATTTTTTGTTTGTGATAGTATGGCAATAGAAGCCCATTTTTCAAATTTGTATCACCTAAGAACTTTAATTTTAAGTGTATTCAAATGATTTGACCACCCTAATCACTCCCGACAAAACTTGTTTAGATAATTATTGCTCTTAATTTTTTCAAACCGTTTTTAAGGAGACTTTGTTCCAAAAAAAAGCTATATAACGTGAATTTATGTATTCTTGGTAAAAGACTCTAGGGATTAAGTCGGGTTTTCCTGAGCACGGAAGCGGAGATTAGACTCCTTTTGACGGAATTCTATGTTCCTGTTTTCCTAGAAGCGGAGTGGAACGCCATGTTAATCACTTCTCTGCTCTCCACGCCTAGGAAAACCTGGCTTTACCTTTAGCAGTGGGTAGTTAGAAGAGTGTTTCCTAAAAGAAGACCCTCCCGCAACCCTGCTCTTTCTCTCATTATGTTGATTTAATAATGTTGTACAATACTTTTGAGTAGACAAACCTTATATAGTTCGGCCGCTTAGAAAGCGACCTCCTCCAGCATTGGTTTAGCATTAGCGCGCAGGTCGTTTTCTAAGCGGCCGAACTATAGCCAGCTGTTTCACTGTAAACCAGAATTTAAAGACAATGAGGGCTGTCTCAACCAATTGACCAATTATAAATTAAGCTGGTACTTAAATTGATTGTTGTGTTAGCTACACTTGCAAATCTACGTTGATTTAATGTTATTGTACAATACTTTTGAGTAGACAAACCTTAAAGCCAGCTGTTCCAGTGTAAACCAGAATTTAAAGACCATGTGGGCTGTCCTAACCAAATGACCAATTATAAATTGAGCTGGTACTTAAATTGATTGTTGAGTTAGCAACACTTGCAAATCTGCTACTATTCTCAGTTGTAAGGTAAACAGGTCCGCGGTTTGTAAGTGATGAGCCTGATAGATAATTGCGCCCCCAACAAACCTAAAACTCTTGCGCCAATGGTAAACCTATCAAAACAGCCCTGAAAAGTAAGGAAGCAGTAGTAGGCTGTATTCAGAATACCAGACCCATTTATTATACAAGACCCCTCAAAACTTGAATTTTACCTCCAAATTTATAAACTAAATTCCATTAAATTCTGGTACAAAGAATTATTAGTGAGGTAACATTATTTCTCATTGATTGAGATTGTCTACTTCAGTATTCGAGAGTTAATTGTCAGATTGTAGCATTGACTATTGGATACTGAAGTTGTATTAATAGTCAAAGATTGTAGTCAGTGGCTTGAAAAGAAACCCTAGTATTTAATTTTCAAATAGGTCTGATATTGCAGTTATTTGTTTGTATATTAACAGAGTCTAACGAATGTTGTTCAGCTACCGATTGTACATAGTTGTTGTTCCTTAAATTTTGTTATTTGATATAGCAAATTATTTTGTATTGAAGATGCTTTTATGTGCACATTTTTACTATTCTTTTTATGGTGTTGTTTGATGTAGATATTTATTTTAAATACAATAAGGAAAAAGTTGAAACTGTGTTATTTATTCAAAACATACCTAAAAAACATTTGTTTTATTCAACTATTTTTTTATTCTAAAAATTAATTGAACATAAATTGCCTCTTATACAAGGCAGCGGCGTTGTTATGTGGCAACATCACAAAAATGGAATTCCTGTTGCCACAGTAATCTATAAGTATAAAAGAGGATGTCTGTATATATATAGATATATATTTGTTTGTTTGGCAGTGATAAACTCAGACACCGCTGAACCGATTGCCACAAAACTTGGTACATACGTGTAGAATGTCATGGAATAGGTTTATACACCATCAATTTCGTGATCCGTCCAATCGGCTCCGCCCCAGTGGCTCTGGAGTTTCCTATGTTAACCTTATGAGAAATGGAATTAATGAATCTTAACAGCTGTTTCAATTAAACAAGTTGGTTCTGTTCTATGATGTTCAATAGCATTAAAGTTACAAGGATTACCAACAGGGTGCAGCACTATTATTTCTTTTACATTTATGACAACAGCTAATTTGCAACCAAAAGGTGAGTGAGCGTAGCGAACGAACTTCAACCTGGAGGCGAGTTAGCGTAGCGAACGAGCTAACCTGAAGGCAAGTGAGCGTAGTGAACGAGCTAACCTGAAGGCAAGTGAGCGCAGCGAACGAGCTCCAACCTAAAGGTGAGTGAGCGTAGCGAACGAACTTCAACCAGGACGTGATTGAGCCATGCGAACGAGATCATCTTGAAAATTAAGAAGATAAACGGGGCAAAGCCCGCGGGATTATACAGGGTGGGGCAGGGAAGTATCCCTAATTTTAAAGGTAAATTAAAAGACAACCAAAAATGTTAGAGCCAAACTTTTTATTGAGATTAAAAGGTTACATCTGGGAGTTTATTTTAATATAACTTTACTTGGTTTTAAACAGCATATCCTGCAAGTTGTGTCCCTAATCTTAAATGCATTACTGTATTCTGGTTCTGGAGTTCATTATAACTTTGTGAAGCATTTGTTGTGGAAAGAGGCAACATTCAAGGTGAATTGCATCCTTCAAAGCATCTAGGGTCTTCCCTTGAACTATCC